CTTGTTTGGGTAGGATGTATGGAGCGGATGAGATTATTGTTTTAGTACAGTACAGGTCAGGTATTTGCAGATGGCACCTGGGCAAGCGCGCAGGGCCGTCTAGATCCATTTACCGTGTCGTCACGGGAGGTCATACCGTCGGCACGCCTAAGCAGGCGCGTGGGGCTTTGTCGATACCTTTCCCGCGGTACAGTTACAAGAGGTGTCGCCGTAGCCACGCCCAGGCTGGCCCGTGCACGTTGGGCCGTCTAAATCCATTTACCGTGCAGTCACGGGAGGTCATGCCGTCGGCACGTCGGCCATTTACGTAGCTTAATATAAGCTTAAATATTCATTTTTAAGCTAACGTTACGCACACTTAAATGCATCTTATTTAAAACAATTTAAAGTAACTGCCAAAGTCATACTTATCTAAGTCTTTATGTTTTAAACATAGTCAAGAACACATGTGGAGTACACTGCTGCAAATCAGTGCATTATCTTTACTGCAACATTAAGCGACCTTAAAGATCAAGTAAGGATACGTTTATGTTTAAGTAGACTTTACGTTGTTCTTTAAGAGAGTGTAAAGGTTGCCTGCCGATTGTGGCATTTACGATGGCTTAAGTGTGACTTAAATAATGCTTAATTATTTTGAAATATTTAAGCCTTATTTACGAACACCATTAAGGATGCTTAAATATCGTTTTTCGTGCAGTGTGAGTGATGAGGTCTGGCCTGCCCAGGGCGGATGGATACATGAAAAAAGTAGGGTTTATTTACTGTTGTCAGCTGTTGTAAGAGTTCGAGCTAATCAACCCCCTGTTTTCTTTCTATATTTGGGAGGCAGACCGTTGTGGCTCTCTGTTGCAGAAGAGAATTTTTGAGATTGAAATGTGAGAAAGTACTTTCATGGGGACTTGTTTTAGTGTATTTAACCATAGGTTCCTATGGTCAAAGTTGATTGTACTCAGTCTGCCCTTCATTATACATGTAGTAAAACTCTTTCTTACTGTCTAGGAGCTTCCTGTCGGCATGATGGTCGGCATTCCGGTTGGACAAGCGTCCTCGTTACAGGCAACGGTCTTCGACTCGCTCAGTCCGCGTGTGGTGCCGTCTTCAAACAAGCACTCATCACCCCCGAATGCAGGCGCTGGGTTGTCACAGGTTCGGGTTCGGGTCAGGGTACCGCCGCCGCAGGTCACGCTACACGCACTGTCAACCCAGTCCGACCATCCTCCGTGCACCGGGTCAGCCGCTGAAATATGGGGAAGCATGATTTGGTTATATATCATATGATAGTTCTTTATTGACTCGCCATATGTACAGAGACTTTTCTATGGTCTAATACAACTATTTTTTTTTAAATATTGCAACATGTAATCATAAGACGTGGTGGGAACGTACACTCAAGTTTTTCAACTTATACTATGCCGCCACCAACACAGCGGACAATATACAATACTCATTTTCACTTGAGATAACAACTAATTTTGGTTTGTAAAATTAAGAACTGAGCCATCCCGTTTCTTAGCGCAGTTTTTTGAGACTGACTGACAGAACTACAACTAAGATCGAACGAAACCAAATACATGAATATGAATGATGAATTAATAAAGTCAGCTTACTTACAGATTCATATGTGGCAAACTACTAGTACTTACAGAATATATGTCAGGGGCAACAGAGGTTTAACTATTCCCTAACATGCAATATTAATCTCGAAGATTTACATATTCTTTTATGTGCATTGTTGAATATGGGTATTGCAAGAAATTCTGGGATGGCTGCATTTTAACCCTTTTTTTATTCCAAAAATTCATTTCATGACTAGACATAGTGACGGCACACTCAAGTTAA